ATCTATAGAAGCAGAGGCTAGCCGGGCATGGTGGCACACACATGTAAACCCAGCATTTGGGAGGCAGAGGCAGAAGGATCACTGCAGGTTTAAGGCCAGCCTGGGCTACACAGTAAGTTCAAGGCCAATCTGAACTACATAGTGAGACCCAGTCTCCAAAAAAAAAAGAAGCAGAGAATAGAACAGAAGTTGCCAGGAGTTGGAGCAGGGTGAAATAAAGTTCAATAAGTATAAAGTTTCAGTTATGTAAGATGAGTAAATTCTAGAGATCTGCCTAACACAATGTCTATATTAGTGAGTATACAGTGCACTTCAAAAGGTACTTGAAAAAAAATAAAAAACAACAAAAGGTACTCGGGTATCATGTTAAGTGTCCTCACAACAATAAAGAGACACAAGGAAACTTTTGAAGGTGATGGGTATGTCTATTACCATGATTGCTGTGATGGCTTCCTGATCTCACCAAACTGGACACATTAAAATGTAGTGTGTGTATCAACCACACCTTAATACAGTGGTTTTTTTCAAATTCCACTGATTTCAGGTTTTCTACTTTAAAATTACAAAAATTCGTTTCTGAGCCACTATACCCTATATTATGCAGAAAATACGAATATAAGCTAGGCGTGATGTCTCTATTTGTGATCTGAGCTACTCAGAAGGCTGAAGCTGAAGGATCACATGTGCAAGGGCAGCCTAAGCAACTTAGTGAGACACTTCCTCAAAATAAACAATTAAAAAGGACTGGGGATGTAGCTTAGCACTGTCTGGGTTCAGTCCCCAATATCATTTTTAAAAAAAGAAAAGAAAGAGTAAGAGGAAGGAAGGAGGTTGGGGAGGAAAAGAGGGAAGAAGGGAAGGGAAAATGAACGGATATGTATAGAGAATTCTGACCCAACAGTTATAAAGAGGGGCTGACTCCACATCACTGGCTTCACAGACTGCTTGGAAGAACAGACTTGAACCTTAAACTTCTACTTGTCCTGACTCATTCAATTTTGAGTTGCTTTGCATGCACTTCTAGCTCATTTCTGAAGGTCATTCTGTTTCTTGTGATTCTCCTAGCTGATTTACTCCCAGCTGCTCCACTGATATTTTTCAACATTTGTAAAACTTGATTTATTTAAAATTTCCTAAAGTTGAAGAGGTAAAAATATGTACTCTTGGGGCCGGGGATTTAGCTCAGTGGCACCACACCTGCCTTGCAAGTGCAAGGTCCTGAGTTCGATCCTCGGTACCAAAAATAAATAAATAAAATAAAATAGCTACCATCAAAAGACAGAAGTGTAGTTAACAAGTGTAGTCAAGGATGTGGGGAGAAAAAAGAACCCTTGTGCACTGTCTATAAGAAGGAAATACAATGCAGTCACAATAGAAGACCATAGGGAAGTTCCTCAAAAAGTTAAAAATAGAACTAACATGTGATCCAGCAACTTCATATCTGGGTATACATACATAAAATAATTGAAATCACGATCTTGAGCTGGGTATGATGGCACATACCCATAATCCCAGCACTCAGGAACCCAAGGCAGGACAAGTATGAGTTCAAGGCCAACCTCAACTACATAGTGAGAACCTGACTCAAAAGCAAAAAAACAAAGAAATCAGAATCTTGAAAAGATACCTATACTCCTATGATCATTGCAGCATCATTTATAATAGCTAAGATTTAGAAACCAAAATGTCCATCAGCAGATGAATGAGTGAAGAAAATATTGTGTAAGGATTAGAGAAAACAATCCTAAAATTCATTTGGAACCAGAAGAGACCTAGAATGGCAAAGGCAATTCTGGGCAACAAAGGCAAAGTTGAGGGTATCACAATCCCTGACTTGAAATTATACTACAGAGCTACAGTGATTAAAAAACAAACAAACAAGCAAAAACACCATGGTACTGGCAAAAAAACAGACCCAAGGATCAATGGAACAGATTATAAGATGCAAAAGCAACTCCAAACACACTCAGCCACCTTATCTTTGACAAAGGAGCCAAACACCTTCACTGGAAGAAAGATACCCTCTTTAATAAATGGTGCTAGAATAACTGGCTTTCCACGTGTCAAAGATTAAAATTAGACCCATATCTTTCACCATGCACTAAACTAAAATCAAAATGGATCAAACATCTAATGTTAAAACAGAAACACTAAATCTGCTGGAAGACAGAATAGGTAGAACTCTTGAAGTCATAGGGGTAGGCAAAGACTTTCTGAACAAAACCCTGATCTCAAAGAAAATATCACAAAGAATCAACAACTGGGATCTCATTTTTGTACAGCAAAAGAAACTACTAACAGAGTGAAGAGATAACCCATAGTATGGGAGAAGAATCTGCCTGCTGTTCCTCAAAGGATTAATATCTAGAATATATAAAAACTCAAAAAAGTCAGATCCCCACATACAAAATTTAAAGACCCAACACAAAAATGGGCATCTGAAATGAAGAGACACTTCTCAGATGAAGAAGTAGAAATAACAGAGATCTGAAAAAAAATATTCAACATCACTAGTCATTCAGAGAAGTAAATTAAAACATTTTTTAATTCCATCTCACTCCAGAAAGAATGGCTGTTATCAAAACCTCAACCAAGAAGAAGGGCCGGGGATTTAGCTCAGTGGTTCCAGCGCCTGCCTCACAAGCGCAGGGATCCAAGTTCAATCCCTGGTACCAAAAAAAAAAAAAAAAAAA